TCTGGCCCGCGCTGCCAACAAGGTAACCGTCCTGGCTTCCCCCCAACTGCCTCTGGGGGCCGTCTGGGGTTGGCCACCCTGGCACAGTGTCTGCAGCTGCCTTTCCTCACAGGCACAGTGGAGTCTGACTGGCATCTGGAAGGCAGCGGGGGCAATGGTACGTACTTCCTATGGCCACACTGGCTTCTGGTCTCGGCCCCTCTCCCAGGTACCCCCGTTTGCAAGACAAGGCCAGAGAGAGGCTCACTGGGCTCAGAGGGACAGAACAGAGCCCAGCCATACACAGCCCGGTCCCGCTATGTACTTACAGGCGCGGTGATCCGGGGCAGGGTCCTGAGCCACTCTGACCTTAGTTTCCTCCTCTACATTCATGCCTGTCGACAAACTATTGCGTGCCCATCCTCACCCTGGAAGCGGGAAATATAAGATGAATGAGGCAAGACCTTCATTCTCAAGGATTCCACAATCTGTTTAAGAGCAGTGATCATTTCTTAAAAATCAGTGCTTATTGAACATGTGCAGGCACCGGGCTAACGGCTCTGTAGGTATCTTCTTATTTCTCACTAATGTAATAGGAGAGGTAGTGGTAGGGTGGCTAAGAGCATGGACTCCGGATTCAAATCCCCCCACCCATTAGCTGTGTGACCTTGGGTGAGTCACTTACCCTTCTGTGCCTCAGTTTCCTTATGTGTAAGGTAAAGAGAAGAAACATCCTTTCCACAAGAGCTGGATAAAAGTTTGTGTCACGGTACAATTATTTAATATACTTGGAATGCCTAGAACAATGTCTGGTCCACAGTGGGTACAGAATGTTAGCTTTTGTTAACGTTATGTCTAAACCATAGGATTATTGTAAGAATCCGTTTATTTTTTTTTAAAGATTTTATTTATTCATGAGCAACACAGAGAGACAGAGACACAGGCAGAGGGAGAAGCAGGCTCTTCACAGGGAGCCTGATGTGGGACTCGATCCCAGGACCCTGGGATCACAACCTGAGCCAAAGGCAGTCACTCAACCACTAAGCCACCCAGGTGCCCCATGAGGATCCATTTAAATGAAAGCATGCTTGCAGCTGGCTGTAAAGCTCCCTGCACGTTGATTGGCACATAGTAGGAGCTTGGTAAATGTTAGCTGTTAGCATCATCTGGTGGAGGGTGGCCAAATGTCCCCTACCCTCGTAGGACCGCAGGGACCAGCGCTGGCCTGCGGGATGGGTCTGAGCAGTTAGGGCTGAGGATGCTGGAGCCACACACTGTATGGACATGGGGGCCAACAGGCCCGGGGTGTCATGCAGGCTTCCCACTTGTGGGCAGGCCACTCACCACCAGCCCCCCACCCCCACCCCAGCCTGTCTTCCCAACTGCAAGATGGAGGGAATACAAACGTTCTGAACTTTTCATGTGCCATGGACCTGGGTGACCAGCTCTCCCCGTTTGCTCAGGACTGAGGGGTTTCTCGGAATATGGACTTTCAGAGCTAAACCCAGGACAGGACTCAGCAAAGAGGGATGATTGGTCACCCTATCTGGACCCTACTGACTATATAAAATAAAATACATAGGATTTTAGAGGAAACCAGTTATACTGAAATAAGGTTCTCAAAATATGTAAAATTTTCTGATTTGTAACATATGTAGTTCTGTATTTTTTTTAAATTTTTATTTATTTATGATAGTCACAAAGAGAGAGAGAGGCAGAGATACAGGCAGAGGGAGAAGCAGGCTCCATGCACCGGGAGCCCGACGTGGGATTCGATCCCGGGTCTCCAGGATCGCGCCCTGGGCCAAAGGCAGGTGCCAAACCGCTGTGCCACCCAGGGATCCCTGTAGTTCTGTATTAATGCAGTAAACGAGACCTGGTGGTGGCCCTAATAGCTACCACGATTTCGGCAAGCTCTGGAGTGTTGGTAACTACTGCGGCGTGATAAGGAAGTCTGTTAGTGGGACGCCTGGCTGGCTCAGTGGTTTAGCACCTGCCTTCAGCCCAGGGAGTGGTCCTGGAGTCCTGGGATCAAGTCCCACATCGGGCTCCCATGGAGCCTGCTTCTCTCTCTCTGCCTGTGTCTCTGCCTCTCCATGTGTGTCTCTCATGAATAAATAAAATCTTTAAAAAAAAAAAAAGGAAGTCTGTTAGTAATAAATCATAGGTCCTGCTACTGCTCCTTGGGTTTGCTGCCCACATGCCCTAATGAAAGGAACTGCTACACGTCATGAGAAGTGAGTGAAGGTAGAGCTACAGTGTCTCCCCACCCAAGTTCACAGGCCCCTGAATTGTGTCCATAGCCCTCTGCGGTCTCCAGAGACTGCAGGCTCAGGGCCCCCATAGTAGCACACGTTGGGGTGGAGGTGGGAGTCCAGAGCCCGTGCAGTGGCCGCTCCATGAAGGCGAGCAGGTGCCTCATCATCCCCACATTGTCCCACAGATGCCCCTGGGCAGTACGGAGCCTATTTCCACGACAATGGCTTCCTAGCTCTCCCAGGCCGCATCTTCTCCAGGAGGTGAGATGGGTGTTGGGGGAGCCTGTGGATCCAGGGAGGGCAGCAGGAATCTGCAGCTTCTTCCCCCTCACCTGCCCCCTCCACTCCCCAGTGTGCCTGAGGTGGCGGAGACCATCGAGCTGGAGGTTCGGACCAGCACAGCCAACGGCCTCCTGCTCTGGCAGGGCGTGGTGAGTGTGGGCGTCTGGCCCCGTCTTAGGGTTCCTGGTGGCCAGGGCTGTGAGGCCACAGCGGCTGGGGCCTTGGCTCCCAGACCAGGAACCCCAGCGACCCTGTGCTTCCCTGGCAGGACATGGGCGAGGCCGGCCGTGGCAAGGACTTCATCAGTCTTGGGCTTCAGGACGGGCACCTGGTCTTCAGGTGGGTCCGGGCACCTGGCCCTTCCTCCCCCCATTCCTGGCCCTTCTCACCCCTTCAGTGGCCTCCCCTCTGCTCGGTGCCATGGCTCCTCCCAAAAGAAGCTGCAGCCCCCGCACCCCAGCCCCACACACCACCACCGTCTGCCCCAGCTCACACTGTCTTGGGCCTGCATGTCTGCAGCTACCAGCTGGGCAGTGGGGAGGCCCGCCTTGTCTCTGAGGACCCCATTGACGATGGCGAGTGGCATCGGGTGACTGCACTGCGGTAAGGGAGTCCACCCGGGCCCTTGGGCGGGGGGCACAGAGTTCTGAGGTGGGACAGATCGCCGCCCACCACGTGCAGGGAGGCAGGCTTTGAGCTCTGGAGACAGAACTTGAACCACGGTGGGTGGAGAGCCCACCTGCCGGAATGCAGACTTCCGGTGGGGGGACAAAATGCCATGGCGGGGAGGCCGGCAAGCACCCGAGTGGGATGATGGATGAGAGCTGGGAAGCTACACCGGGCCACATCGCATCCAGTGGGGGAAGGAAAGGGCTCGGAGCAGGGCCAGGCTTTCCTAGCTGGCATATCTGAGGCAAAGGGAGGGGACTCGGGATTGGTGGTAAGGGGTCCGCCCCCGTCCCATCACAGAGAGGGCCGGAGAGGCTCCATCCAGGTGGACGGCGAGGAGCTGGTCAGCGGCCAGTCCCCAGGCCCTAACGTGGCAGTCAACACCAAGGGCCGCATCTACATCGGTAAGTCCCAGCTCGGTGCTGGCCTAGGGCACCATCTGGGCAAGGGAGGGAGGGGGGCTAGAGCATCCCCCTTCCTCACGCCCTGGGCTCCCTGCAGGCGGAGCTCCCGACGTGACCACGCTGACCGGGGGCAGGTTCTCCTCGGGCATCACGGGCTGTATCAAGAATCTGGTGCTGCACTCCGCCCGGCCCGGCGCCCCGCCCCCGCAGCCGCTGGACCTGCAGCACGGCGCCCAGGCGGGAGCCAACACTCGCCCCTGCCCCTCGTAGGCAGCCGCCTGCCCCAGACGGACTCCCGGGCAGTGTCCCAGCCCCACAACGTCGACTATATTATTATTATTAATATTATTATGAATATTTTGTAAGAAACTGAGGCAATGCCACGCTTTGCTGCTACTGCCCTGGGCTGGACTGGAGGGTGGGCACACCACCCCCCATACACAAACGCACCTGGGCAAAGCCGCAGGCTGGTAGGTAAGGCAGGTTGGATTGGAGCCGGTGCCTCAGAGGGCCGCCAGGACTTGGGGTCAGACACGGTGGTTGAGTGGGCTCAGAACTGTCACCACCAGTAGAGAGCCCCCCCTTCCCCTAGAGCTGGGCTGTCCGGGTCAGCAGCCCTCGGGCAGCCCTCAATCCTACGAGAGCCAACTGCGGCCAGTAGCCTGGTGCCTCACCAGCTACCTGGAGCAAGGAGCATGGCCTTTACCACCCTCCTCCGGGTGGGGAAAGCTCTTTAGTGCCAACTGTGGAACAAAAGGCAGCTCACCCCTGGGCGGGCAACCCCACCCCCGCCAGCCCACGTCCCAGCCCTTGTCACCCCTGCCCAGCCAGCTGGGCCACCTGCCCCTGGCAGCCTCCCCCTCCCACCGAGCCCTCCTGGCCTGCATCCCCCCCACCCCCGCCCCCACCCGACACCTAGCCCAGGGCCCCCCTGGCCTCAGGGCTGCCAGGGAAACTCCACCCCAACTCTTACCAGGAGCTGCTACAGGCAGAGCCCAGCACTGAGAGAGTCCCCCGCCCACACCAGCCCATAGCCCCCCCACTGATCTGGAAGTGAAGGCCCAGGGGACATGGGGGGAAGAGGGCATTGGTGGTTGACAAGAGTTAGTGCCTTGGGTGGGGGATGCCAGGACTCATGACTGGGAGGGACAGGAAGGGGACATGACAGTCCTGCCCCATCTGTGGGAGCCTGAGGGCCCAACTGGGGGCACGTACCCTCCCCACCAGCAGCCCACAGATGTGGGGCCAGGATGCCTGGCCTCTGTGTCCTAGAAGGGACCCTCCTGTGGTCTTTGTCTTGATCTTTCTTAATAAACGGTGCTATCCCCGCCAGAGCGTGTCCTGCGCCTTCAACGGGGGCTTGACTCGGTGGAACCTGCGGCTGGGCTGGGGTGGGGCAGCGCAGGGCAGGTGAGCTCTGGGAGCCAAGCAAGGCCCCTGCTCCCCACCCTTGATGGATCCAGCAGGGCTACAAGGCCGGTTAGCTCCCGTGTATTTCACAACAACCAGGAGGCAGGAATCTTCCCATTTTCCAGAGGAGTAGACCGAGTCTGAGGGTTACGTGACCTGTCCAAGGTCAGACGGCCCTCCTGGGGCTGAGGCACAACCCTATGTCCATCTGACCCCAGAGCCCAGTCTTTTTCTGAAGCCACAGCCTCTAGGGACGTCCTCCCTGGCCCTGGAAGGCCGGGCCACTGGGCTGCAGCCCCCCAGGAGCCACCTGGCCAGGACACGGACAGATGCTGCAGCGGGGGCAGAGGCCACGGGCACCAGCCTGCCGGGCCAGCCGGCTGGAGGCACAGCAGCACCAGAGGAGGCCCAGGAGGAGGCCCGCAGAGGCCAGGACCAGCGAGGAGACCAGCGCCGGGGCCCGGAGCCTGGGACCTGCAGAAGGAAAGGGAGAGGGGTGCCTGGGTGGCTCAGCGGTTGAGCGTCTGCCTGGTGGGAGGAGTGGGAGCAGGTGGGAAGCAAGAGACACCTACCTCCTGGAGGGGCTGCGGCATCCTGCTGTTCGGGGGCCCGGCCTGCGAGGGGGCTCCTCCCGGCGGCCACCTGGAGGGGACCTGCAGACCCGAGAGCCGGGGAGAGCGTCAGGGGCCTGGGCGGAGGGCCGTCTGTTCTCCCTGCCTGGCTGGGCGCCAGCGAGGGACCTGCAGCGGGAAATAAGAGAGTAACACTTGGAACTTTGCAGGGCTTGACTTGGGCTCAGTGAAGCCTCCCTAAACCCATCTGGGCTTGTTACTCTCAGAATTTCCATCTTACTCATAAGGGAAGTGAGGCAGAGAGGTTAAGTCGCCTGCCCAGGTCGCAGGGCAGGAAGTCCTAGGGAAGGACACGAGCCCACGCGGCCCAGCTCCAGCCCCTGCGGTTTGCCAGTGGAGGGTCTCCCCAAGAAGGAGGATGTGTCTGGGCACCTGGGTGGCTCCGTGCTTGAGCATCTGCCTTCAGCTCAGGGCGTGATCCCAGGGTCCTGGGATCGAGTCCCACGTCGGGCTCCCTGCAAGGAGCCCGCTTCTCCCTCTGCCTGTGTCTCTGCCTGTCTCTCTGTGTGTGTCTCTCATGAATAAATAAATAAATAAATAAATAAATAAATAAATAAATAAATGTCTTAAAAAAAAAAAAAAAGAGTCCAGCTGGCAATGCAGTAGGAAGGAGACCACGGAGGGAACTGGTGCGGTGAAGGCTGGAGGAAAGGAGCGTATGGCAACGGGGCCTCAGGCACGAAGCACAGAGTGCCAGGGAGATAATGAGGAACCTGCAAAGGAGACTGAGAATGGCTTAGGAGGCCAGTGTGTGGGGTCCCAGGAAGCTGGACTGCACCCTTCAGCCAGGTGGGTTTTTGCAGTGAACAGTCTGTTCAACAGTACATGGCAGCCCTGTTTGCAGGATGCGACATCTTAGATTCCCAGGAAGGATCTTTTGGGGCCCCCTGTCCACAGAGGTCATTCCTGGTCATGCTCCTCCTGGACTCTATGACCTTGGGCAAGTCATTTCACTTCTCTAGACCTCGGTTTCCCCATACGTAAAATGTGGGAGTCAGACTGGATGAATGATTTCCAAAGTAAGACTCGAAGGTCCCCACCCCTGGGGACATCAGCAGTCAGCTACGGCCTGGGCCTCCACGTCCAGTTAGATGGAGCATCTCTCCTTGGGAGGTCTTGGTCCTCTGTGCAAAATGCCCCTTAGGAAGAGCTCCCACCACTAGCATACCATTTGGCCACAGCTGGATTAGATCCTCTCCAGCATCATTCCGGTTCTAACTGGCTCTGATCCTCATCCTCAGTCCGGCCTCCACAGATTCCCCACTACCCGCTTCACCTTATTCTCCCCTGCCTATCCCTGTACCCCAGCTCCACCTCTGGGCTCCCCACTGAGGCCCTGCCCCTCCTCACTGCTCAGCACACCGCCCTCCCGGGCCACACCCATCACTGACCTCTGCAGTTGGCTGGTGGCCAGGAAGCCTGGTCACTACCGTCGCCACAGTTGTCCACGCCCCAGCGATCGCACACCAGGCTCGGGGGGATGCACCTGCCGTTCTGACAGCGGAAGTAGGCACCACAGGATCCTGGGGCCAAGAGGGGACGCACGAGATGAGGACCCTGAGTCTGTCCGTGACACAGAGGGATGTGCAGCCCTAGGGGGAGGGAACGTGGGAGCTTCGTGCAGCAGGGCTGCTTCCACGGGCATGGATGGAAGCATGGGTGGGTGTGTCACGGGGGACAGGTGCACGGTCACCAGATGATGCTGATGGCTGACATTTATGAAGTTCCTCTTCTGTGCTGGGCACGGCCCTAAGCACTTGGCTCACACCCCAGCTCCTTAAGTTCTCACAAGAATCCTATGGGAGGGACACCTGGGTGGCTCAGCAGTTGAGCACCTGCCTTCATCTCAGGGTGTGATCCCAGAGACCTGGGATCAAGTCCCGCATCGGGCTCCCTGCATGGAGCCTGCTTCTCCCTCTGCCTGTGTCTCTGCCTCTCTCTCTCTCTGTGTCTCATGAATAAATAAATAAAATCTTAAAAAAAAAAAAGAAAACCTACAGGAGAGCTCAGGTCTCTTGGCCAAGACGACACAGCCTGTACCTAAGTAGCAGAGTAGGAATTCAGTCCCCGGCTCATGAACCCTGTGGTGCACAGTGGGTGTGAGGGTGTCTGCTGTGTCCCAGCGAGCCTGGCCGCTCCCAGCAACTCCACGCTTGGGGCCTGGCCCTGCCATCAGCTCTGCCCGGCATCCCCTCCCAGCAGTAAGTGCATGGCTCTCTCCCTTCGGGTCCACACTCATTACCTTACAGGAGGCCCTTAAGCTCCACGTGAGAACGGCACGCCAGTGTCCCCAGCGCTCCGGCCCTCCTTGTCCTGGTTTGCGTCCCTCGGCAGCACTCCTCACCCCGGCAGAACGTGGATTCACTCAATTATCTGCTTTCGGCATGGAATTAGAACGCCCCATCTCTGGCCACAGAAATGGACACATGACCTACATGACCAATCAGATTTGGCCCTGGGCCTTTTGCTAGAACCGTAAGAAAAGATGCTAGCTAGCTATCTTGTCAAGGTGAGAGCTGTAAGGGGGACCGTGGTCTTGGAGCTGCAGGGTCACCTTGCTGCCAGGTGGAAAGAGAAGCTGCCTGAGATGGAAGCCAAACAGACTCCCACAATGCAAAGACAGAGATCAAAGAGAGAGCCCTGGTGCCATTACTCGAACTGCTGGATCCAGCTGTACCTGAACCAACAATTTTTTTTAATTTATGATAGTCACACACACAGAGAGAGAGAGAGAGAGAGAGAGAGAGAGAGAGAGGGAACGTGGCAAAGACATAGGCAGAGGGAGAAGCAGGCTCCATGCACCGGAAGCCCAACGTGGGATTTGATCCTGGGTCTCCAGGATCGCGCCCTGGGCCAAAGGCAGGCGCTAAACCGCTGCGCCACCCAGGGATCCCCTGAACCAACAATTTGATATCCTGTTCCAGGGGTCCCTCCCCATTCTCCTTTGGCTAAACCAACCTGAGTTTGGTTTCTTTTGTCTACAAATGAAAATGAATAATACGTAGCAGGTATGTAAGCTTAAGAGTGAATATGAGAGAAAATACAAACAGTAGTGTGGTTGTGTATGGGAAGTCACATGTGGGTGTCAATGTAAGAGGGTGTGCATGCAGCAGGCAGGCTGTGCCTGCCCGTGTGAGTGGCAGGGACTGTGTGTGTGGCCAGAGGATATGAAATGGACCCTTCTTCATTTAGATGACAAAACTGATCTAAGGAAGCCAGAGCTGTGACAGGGCTTTGCCACTGCCACCTTCTTGCTGGAGTCCAATCCTGCTAAGCACAGAGTGGCCGCAGCACCCCGGCTCCCTGGCCGACAGCTATCTCTTGCAAGCAGGCAAGGCCACAGGGAGAAAGGGAGGGAAAGAGAGAAAGAGGGAGAGAGGGCGGGGTTCATTCTCAATCCACCAGTAAGAACTGTTTGCAAAACATAATAGGTCCCTGGGCACCCTACTGCCAACGGGAGCCAGAAAGGAGACCCCGGCACCACTGGTCTTGGCCCTTAGATACAGGGTATCTGTGGGGTTATGCCCAAGGATTTATGGTTCCTCCCAGAGCCAGAGACTAATGGTAAAGAGAGAGAGAGAGAGAAAAAATCTAAAATCTAGAATTCAGGCAGCCCGGGTGGCTCAGCGGTTCAGCGCCGCCTTCAGCCCAGGGCCTGATCCTGGAGACCCGGGATCCAGTCCCACATCGGGCTCCCTGCATGGAGCCTGCTTCTCCCTCTGCCTGTGTCTCTCATAAATAAAAAATAAAATCTTTTAAAAAAATAAAAATAAAATCCAGAATTCAGGGCACCTTGGATGGCTGAGTCAGTAAGTGCTGGACTGCTGATTTTGGCTCAGGTCATGATCTCAGGGCCGTGAGATGCAGCCTCACAACGGGCTGCATGCTGGGGCTGGAGCCTGCTGAGGATTCCCTCTCTGCCCCTGCTTCCCACCCCTGCTCTTTCTTGCTCACGCGCACTCGCTAAAAATTAAATAATTAAATAACATCCAAAATTCAGACCAGGCACCAGGCCCGGGTAGGAGAAAGGTGGGCCTGGTCCAAAGAGACTATGGGGCGCCGGGGGGCGCTCCCCGACCAGCTCAGTGCTGAAGGGCTGCCCAGGGCCTGCAGGGGGAGGGCATGGGGAGCCCATGGGTGCTCGGACGGCCCTGCTCTGGGCTCTGGGCGCTCGCAGTCCTGGCTGTTTTGCCAGAGTTGGCGGTAAAGCTTGTCTGCGCATTTGGAGTCCTCTGAGTCTCGGCAGCCCGCCTGCTCGCCTTCCCCGGACACGGTGTCTGCTGCGACACAGGCTGAGCCTCCGCTCCTCGGGCGCCTGCGGGACCTAAAGCCTTAAACCCATTTGGGCAAGAGGACGTGCTCCGGCCGCTAACGCCCCGCTGCTCCAGAGAGCAGGCGGCCTGGGCACCTCCCCTCCCCTCCCCGAGCCTGGGTCTCACCCACAAATAGAGGACGAGAAGACACGCACGGCGTGGCCCTGAGGAGCAGACAGCACCCAAAGAGCAAAGGCCACGCTTGCTAAATGATGATTAATCACCCTCTGTTTCCTTAACATGCTTGGGGGGGTTGCGTGGCTTACAGCCACTTGCCCCCCGCAATCACCTGCGGGGCGAGCCAGGACAGAAGAGCCCGGTATGAACCTGAGACTGGCTAAGTTGTATCTAAGTGTGCAAAGTGGTGCTGTGTGTATGAGGTGTGTGATGCAAACTGTGAGTGTGCCGTCTGTGAGGTATGCGGGTTGCGTTGCACTGTGTGAGGCACATGGGCGTGTGCGTTGTGTAAATGAGCGCAATGTTGTGACTTCTATGTACATACAGAGTGTGTGTGAATATGCGTGTCGGGGTATGGGTGTGCGAGTGTAGGGTCATGTGAATGAGTGTGAAGGGTGTGTGGTGTATGTGCAGGGTATGGGGGTGTGAAGGTGTGAGGTGTGTGAACATAGGGTCGTGTGAATGGGTGTGCACGGTGTGAGAGTGTGTGTTGGGTGTCAGGTGTGGGAGTGGGAGTATGTGTGTGAACGAGGGTGCGCAGGCTGTGAGGGCTGTGAACAGTGTGAGCGTTGGGTGTGCAGTGTGTGGGATTGTGTGAAACGGTGCAGGACACATGGGTGTGTGAGTGTGGGTGTTGGGTGTCAGGTGTGCAAGCGTGGAGTTGTGTGAATAAGTGCAGGTTGTGCCAGCATATGAGCGTGGGGTGGTGTGAACGAGTGTGCCACATAGGTGGGGTAGGTGTAGTGCAAAGGGTGCTGCGGTGTGAGTGCATGAAGGGTGAGTGTGCACGGCGGTGTGAATGAGCGTGCGGGGTGAGTGTGCGCGGTGGTGACTGAGCGTGGGGGTGAGTGTGCGTGGGGGTGAGTGTGCGCGATGGTGACTGAGCGTGGGGGTGAGTGTGCGCGGTGGTGACTGAGCGTTGGGGTGAATGTGCGTGGGGGTGAGTGCGCGATGGTGACAGAGCGTGGGGGTGAGCGTGCGGGCGGGCGTCAGGCGCTGGTGGGGGCTGGCACGCTCGCGGCCCGCAGTCGGACGCACGGACGCATGGGCCGGGCTTGCGGTTCTGGAGCCATCGCTGCCAGGAGCGCGCTCGGGCCGGCCCCCGCCCCCAGGTCCCCCCGCCCCCGCCCCCGCGCCCGCCCCCGCCGCCACCCACCCAGCCGGAAGGAGGTGGCCTCGCCCACGAAGGCCACGCGGGGCTGGCGGCCCCGGGTGCGCAGGCGGAGGCCCAGGACGGGCCCGGAGGACGCGACGGCGGCGGGGATGCTGCGGCCGCACACCCGGGCGCCCAGGGGCCGCGGCGCCCCCGGCGGGCCCTCGTAGAACTGCACGTACGAGCCGGGGGCGCAGGGGTCGGCGGAGGCGGAGGAGGCGGAGGCGGAGGAGGCGGCGGCGGCGGAGGAGGCGGCGGCGGGGGGCGCCGGGGACCCCGGGGCCGCCGCGGCCAAGCTGTACACCAGGAAGAAGCGGAACTGGAAGCGGATCCTGTCGCCGGCGGCCGCCGCCCGCATCCAGAGCGCGCAGTCGGCGTCCCGGGCCACGAAGTAGGAGGTGCGCGAGGCGGCGTGCGAGCGCAGCAGCAGCCCGGCCCCCTGCCACGTCCGCCCGCACCGGGCCGCCAGGTCGGCTGCGGGGGAGAGACCGGCCCTGGAACCGCGCCGCCCGCGCCCGGGCCCTGCGCGCCCCACTCTCCCTCCGCGGGCCTCAGTTTCCCCGTCGGCAAAATAGGACGCTCGCGCAATCTCGGGACTTTGGGGGGAGGGGGGGTAATTTAATTCGGGCCCCCCGGACTCTTCTTGAAAGACTCCAGGACGCGTTTCAGAATCTTCCAGATTTTAGAAAGGTAACGTGGTGTATGTGCAGGAGATTATGTTTGCAGCCCTTGGTGATCAAGCCCATTTTCTAGAGCGAGTCTATGGACATAACCCTGAGCAGGACAAATACAAGAAACAGCCTCCTTCAGCTCACGTCAGGTGCTGCCAGTAAATTAGTTAAGGAATTCTGGTCTCCCAGAGCTTTTCATATTCTGGAACTGGAACTGGAGGACTGTGGGCAGGTAAGGGTTCGGTGCTTAGGCCGGTGCGTGGCGTTTAATGAGTGTCACAGAAATGTGAGCTGTTGTTAGCATCTCGTAGGGGAGAGGGTAGACTGAACTGGGCACCTGCCCACCCCAGGCCTTTCCCTATTGCGCCTATAAAAACCCTAATATCTCTCAGCTGTCGGAGGGCAGCCTACCAGCCCTCCTGGTACCGGGAGCCTAAACTAAGCTCTGTCCTCCTAACTCTATTTGTAGGGCTTGTTGGAATGCCACCTGATTCTGGGCAATGAGACTGAAGAGGTTTACTGAAGGGAAGGTTTCCCTCTCTGAATAAAAAAAAGGAAAAGAAAAAAAGAAAGAAAAGGGAGAGCTATGTGAGGAGGAGGCTCTTTCTTCCTGCTTTCGAAAGTGGTTGACTGAGGATGTGATGGCCAGCGCCGTAGCAGCCGTCTTGCAAGGGTGAGGTCATGAGATTCATGGGGAAGTACTGACATGGTTGAGCTGCTATATTAACCATTTCTGGAATCCTCTATGGCCACTCTTAAGTGAAATAATGTCCCTCATGGGTTAAGCCTCATTACTTTGGTGTCTGTAACTTACATCCCAAAACATCCTCACACTACATTGTTGTTGTGAGGATTGAGTGAGATAATGTGTAAATAATCCAAGTAGCTCTAATTTCTGTAAGGATGGAGAAGAGGAGGTGGCTTTTCTGGTGCATGGTAGGGGCACCTGTGGGTCTTGAGGACCATCCAGGATGTGGGTCTTTGGGGAAGAAATCCACCATCAGGGCCTAGGACGTGGAGGCATTTTCCAAATCTGCGCAGACCTACTAAAGCCAGGGGCTGCCCTGGAGGCCCACGGGGGTGGAGGGAGGTTTGGAGAGTGAGTGAATTGAGCGCTTTCTATGTGCCAGGTGCAGAAGGACTTGCACACTTATCTCATATGCACAGTAATAATAGTCCCTTAAGGGGTGAGGTCCCTTATTCCCACTTTGCTGCTGAGGAAACAGACTCCAAGAGATGAGGCGGTGATGTCAAGGGTGGAAACGTAGGAAGAGGTGGTGAGAGTGTGAGCCCAGACTGTCTGACCCCAACACCCACGGTGTTGTCCACTGCCACACACACACACGCACACACACACACACACTCTGGACTTGGGGGCACCAAGCAAGACCAGGCACAGGGCTTCCCAGCCTCCTCAAGCCAAGGGGGTCCCAGCCCATCATGGAGAAATGGTCTCTAAGGGTGGTAGGATCGAATCTCCTGCCTGCCCCAGCCAAGCCCCCGCCAAGCCCCCCCCATGCTCACCGGTCTCCAGAGCAGATGCAGCCAAGGCAGCCGCCCCCAGCAGAAGCAGCTGCAGAAGACAGGTCTCCATAGCCCCGCTGTGCCCAGCAGTGGCGCAGACCTGCAGAATCCTCAGTTTGGATGTCCCTGGGGAGACCAGGGTGTGGGGACCCCGCAGATGGGCTGGCAGGACACAAGGAGCAAGAGGAGGTGAGTCCACCAGCCCTCTGGCCTCCTTATAGTGGTCTTTATGCTCCAGATCCTTCTTCAGATTAGGATTGTGTCTAGGGTTGCCATGGAGATTTGGGGCTGAGGCTGGAGCCTGGGGAACGAAGGCAGTGAAAATGTCCACTCATCCCCTGCCAGACGGGAACCAGGAAACTCAGATCCGGTTAACCCACAAGGCTTCTGGGAGGGGGACCCACAGCCTCAGAGAACTGCTGTTCTCTGGGTAAGCTGACAGCTTAGCGCTGAGCTTGAGGGAAGCCCAGGACAATCACAGGGCGGTTCTCAGGGCCCCAGAGAGGCAGCAAGTGGTAAGGAGCACTGGACCAGGAGTCCCTACCTCAGGGCCTTTTCACTCACAGTTCTGTCCACCTGGAGTGCTCTTCTCCCATAGCGTTGCATGACTGGCTTCTTCAGGTCATTTGGGTTTTGGCTCACATGTCCCCTCCTCAGATCCCACTCCCTAGCCCACCTCTCAGTCTGAATCGGTGCCATCACCCCTTGTCGCTCAGTCCCATCTTCCCCAATTTATTCTCTCAGCACTCACTCCAGTTACTTGGCTTACTTCTTTCTTGGGTATATGATCCATTGGCCCCACTAAAATTGTTATCCACAACGGTCTTGTTGATCTCTGGAGGCCCGGGTCATAGCACAGTGCCCGGCACAGAGCAGGCATCCAGAAAATAAGAAAAATGTGTAGTATTGAGCACATGACCTCTCATCTGCTTGGTTTAACTTCTCTGTGTATAAAAGAAAGGGCTTGGCCCATTTCAGGTTTTTCCAAAATTTGTTATTAGACCAATGTTTGTCATGGGGTGTCTGGTTGGCTCAGTCGGTGAAGGATGCGACTCTTGATCTCAGGGTTGTGAGTTCGAGCTCTACGTTGGACATAATTTTAAAAAGAATTTAAAAATTAAAAAACCAAAGGAAGGATGTAATTTCCTTTTTCAAATATCACTAACCTCTGTTGTAGGCATTGGAGATATTTCAGGAAACAAACAAAAACTCTACTCTTAGGGAACTTATATTCCAGTGGAGTATAAATGAGCAAAGGTGTGGTGTATTAAATAGTGATAAATATTAAGAAGGAAAAACATAAAGCAAGGTGGGGAGATATGAAATGTCAGATGTTGAAGTTTTGATAGGATATCTTAGGACTCATGGAGAAGGTTCTTTTGAGTGAAGATCTGAAGGTCGAGGGAGCGAGCCATGTAGTTATTTGAAGGAAGAATTTGCTAGGCAGGAGGAAGAACAAGTGCAAAGGCCCTGAGGCAGGAGCATGCCTGATACAGGCAACAACAGCATGGAGTGAATGCAGTGATGGGGAGAGTGACAGGAGATGAGTTAGATCAATAAGTCATCATTGTCAGGACTTTGGCTTTTTTTTTTAAGATTTTATTTATTTATTCATGAGAGACACAGAGAGAGGCAGAGACATAGGCAGAGGGAGGAGAAACAGGCTCCATGCAGGGACCCCGATGTGGGACTTGATCCCGGGACTCCAGGATCACGTCCCGAGCCTAAGGCGAACGCTCAACTGCTGAGCCACCCAGACGTCCCAGGAGTTTGGCTTTTTCTCCAAATGAGACAAGAACCACTGGGCAGGGCCAAATACTAGAGGACCAGATAGGAGGCCATTTAATAAGTCTAGAAATGATGGTAGCCTGAAGCAGGATGGCAAGAGGTGGTCAGATTCTGGATATATTTTGAAGGTGCAGCCAATTGGATTTGCTGACAGGTTGGACTTCTGTGTGAAGGAAAGATGAGTCAGGGATGGCACCGTGGACTTCAGCCTGGCATCTGGAAGAATGGCGTTGCCATAACTGGAATGGGAAGGATGAGGATCTCAGCTTTGGACACATTCTGATTGAGATGAGGGTTAGACTTCCCAGTGGAGATGACAAGTGGCTCTCTGGAGTTTGGGGGGGTAGTGAGGGCTGGGGATACAATTTGGGAAGCAGTTGGCGTGTGGATGGTGTGTAAAGCCACATAACAGGGTGAGTCTGTCATGGGAGTGAGCAGAGACAGAGGAGAGGAGATAACCAAGAGGTTTGGGCAGGGCCCCAACCCTTTTTCTTGGAGGAATGCACCCATGGGTCTGAATTAAAATGTCCCCTAGGGGGCAGTCAAAGCCAATACAAGGACGAGGAACCTCACTGTGCATCCTAGAAAGGCGGCTGGGTGGCCTTGGGATGCCCTTCAACTTGGAGGCTGGCACTGGTGACAGCTCCATCCGAAGCCAGGGGCTCCACATCTCAGGTCTGAGTCCTAGATGTCTTCCCTACATGTTCAGGTAACTGTAGAAAAGGGTAAGTGTCCTGTTCAATTGATGTGTCTTTTTTCTGTCCAATGGGTCAGCAAGACTGGATCATTTCTAAGGGCTCTTTCCCTGAGATCCTCTCTGACTCTGGAATATGGGCTGATGCTTCTGCATTAAGGGTGTCACATCTCATCTGTCATTCTGTTTTTTTTTTTTTTTTAAGATTTTATTTATTTATTCATGACAGAGAGAGAGAGAAAGGCAGAGACACAGGCAGAGGGAGAAGCAGGCTCCACACAGGGAGCCCGACGTGGGACTCGATCCTAGGTCTCCAGGATCAGGCCCTGGGCCGAAGGCAGTGCTAAACCGCTGAGCCACCGGGGCTGCCCTTTTTTTTTTTTTTTAAGATTTTATTGGGCAGCCTGGGTGGCTCAGTGGTTTAGCACAGCCTTTGGCCCAGGATGTGATCCTGGAGCCCCGGGATATCGAGTCCCACATCGGGCTCCCTGTATGGAGCCTGCTTACCCCTCTGCCTGTGTCTCTGCCTCTCGCTCTCTCCCTGTGTGTCTCTCATGTGTGTCTCTTGTCATAGAGCACAAGCAGGAGGAGTGGCAGACAGAGGGAGAAGCAGGCTCCCTGCTGAACAAGGAGCCTGCAGTGGGGCTCAATCCCAGGACCCCAGGATCATGACCAGAGCAGAAGGAAGACGCTTCACTGACTGAGCCACTCAGGCGCCCCTCATCTGTCATTCTTTCTTGCAGCTTACAGTTTGATAAGCTACTAGTAAATAACTATTCATTGATCCAAATCCAAGCCTAGGGCCTTGAAAGTAGCCCAGGAGGCAGGAGATAGATCTAGGCCTGCCCATTCTCTTAGAGCTCCAGACCCCAATTCTCTTTTTATTACATCATCCCTTGAGTCATAATTAGATTCCTAATACGTGCCTTGGCCTCATTAGTCCTAAAGTGCCTGGGCCTGTGCTAGGAGCTGGTGTCCAGTGGTAAAGGACACACTTCTGCACTTAGGCAGCTCAGAGCCTAGCAGACAAGCAAAACAAAACTACAACTCAGCATTATGAGAGCCAGGGCTGTGGGAACAGAGAGGGTGAAGCCAGCTTCGGCCAGGGCAGAGAAGGCAGAGAATAATAAAATGAGCAAGTGTTAATAAAATGAATAAATGATCATTATTACTAACGAAAATTATTATTAACAATAAATGAATCATAATTTATCAAATGCTTTCTGTTCACCAGGGGTTGTTTTCATGTGTCTGTTCATTCATTCTTCAAAGTAGTAACAGGACGTAGGTATGAGGACCAGCCTCATTTTTCAGATGAAGGAGCTAAGCCACGCAGGCGCTGAGTACTCTGTAGAGGTGTGGTATGTAGCGACGAAATGGAGAAGCGGCCTGGCTGCCGAGAGGAGGGATCCTCTGACCTGAAATCTGAAGTCTGAACAGGACCTCAGCAGGTGGAGAGAGGCTCCGCAGTGTTCTCAGCAGAAGAGGAAGCAGGCACGGATCCAAGAAGGCTTGGGAGAGCCTGCCACCCCCCCCAAACACACACCCTCCTCCCTCCTCCCTTTTCCCTCCTCCCTTGTAGCTTTTACTGGGCAAACTGGGACAGTGCCCCCTCCTGGTCCACAGCAGGCTCACGTCTCCCAAAGCCAAGCAGGTGTTCAGGTTCAATAGCCAGCCCAAAGGGACAGAACTTAGGGTCTTTCTGACGTCTAAATCCATGCTCATTCCATGACAACAATATTAAGAAACCTTTCTCGATATCGAGTTATGTGAGGAGACAGTTTTTCTCTTTTGGTTACCCAGATATTGGCCAAGCTTATTCATCGTCTACACTACAGAACCCGAGGATGAGATAATGAGATCGCAATCATTTTTACAGGATTCGAAAAGAAGGTCTAACTAGGCAGACCTGAGCCCCTACAAGTTATTGGTGTGGCTGGAAGCAAGATGTATACTGACAGTGGAAATAGAAATAAAAGTAAAAGAGATCCCTGGGTGGCGCAGCGGTTTAGTGCCTGCCTTTGGCCCAGGGCGCGATCCTGGAGACCCAGGATCGAATCCCACATCGGGCTCTGGGTGCATGGAGCCTGCTTCTCCCTCTGCCTGTGTCTCTGCCTCTCTCTCTTTCTGTGTGACTATCATAAATAAATAAAAATTTTAAAAAAAGAAATAAAAGTAAAATATAATGCGCAAAATAAAACCATATGTACAAAATTACAAGATAAAATGTATAGGGAGCCCTCATCCAATTCCAGAAAAGGTCTCCAAGAAAACACACATCTTCCACAGATCCTAGTAACATGTTTTTTTTGCAATACCAATACCTCCAGATCACCAGGCCACTTTGCAAAGAAAACGATAGATATTTCAGAAATTAGTCCAGGGACATGGAAATAAAATAGTCTTGTACTTGCAGGGATTTGAGAATGTTAAACTCTCTTTTACATGATTACATACATGATATCATAATTAGAAAGATAGAAAACATACGATAAGTTGAACGGAAAAATCCTGAGATATTCAGGGACGCCTGGGTGGCTCAGTCAGTTAAGTGTCTGCCTTCAGCTCAGATCATGATCTCAGGCCTGGGATTGAGCCCCACATCAGGATCCCTGCTCTGCCTCTGTCCCTCACCCCTGCTCATACTCACTTGCTTTCTCTCAAATGAATTTTTTTTTTAATTTATTTATGATAGTAACACACAGAGAGAGAGAGAGAGGCAGAGACACAGGCAGAGGGAGAAGCAGGCTCCATGCACCAGGAGCCCGACGTGGGATTCGATCCCGGATCTCCAGGATCACGTCCTGGGCCAAAGGCAGGCGCGCTAAACCGCTGCGCCACCCAGGGATCCCTCAAATGAATTTTTTTAAAAAAGGTTTTTAGTTCACATTTTAGGTAAAATCTAGTCATTAGAGGGAGCATCACATCAGAATCAATAAATACATAAAGGACATAGTCTAGGATTTAAAAAAAAAAACCCAAAACCTAAAATTGATAGGATTATTTGGCTATCGGGGAAGATAGGATTATTTGACTATCGGGGAAAACAGATTCCATGCTAAATATTCTTTTACAAAATGTCAAATCAGTAGAGAAAAAGCCCAAGACTTCCCACAGGATCAAACAACACAGGTCCTTGATGAATTAAAGAGGGCAGCACAACATCATCATCCTGAGCACCTGTACTAAAGAAAACAAGAGGGACACCCAGGTGGCTCAGTGGTTGAGCATATCTGACTTTGGCACAGGTCACTATCCTGGAGTCCTGGGATGAAGTCCCACAGTCAGGCTCCTCTGAGGAGCCTGCTTCTCCCTCTGCCTAGGTCTCTACTTCTCTTTGTGTCTCTCATGAATAAATAAATAAAACTTTTAAAAATTTTTAAATAAATAAAATGTAAGTCATACAACACAGGCCAATAAGCACCAATTCAGAAAATATCATCTTTAAAAAATAAAAAGAAAATGAGATTTCAGTGACTCATGGTCATGTTGCCTGGTCACTCTGGGTTAGACTTTGAGGGTCATGCATAGCACTATTTCAGCCTACTGGACAAAGAAATTTTCTGATAACAGAAAATTAACCCGATAGAAATAAGGGGACGGGCACCTGGCTGGCTCAATCGGAGGAGCATGGGACTCTTGATTCCAGGGTTGAGTTCAAGCCTCACATTGGCCGTAGAGCTTACTTAAAAATAAAATCTAAAAAAAAATATAACAAAAAGAAATACTGGTTACTACATTCCTTGCATTACAGGGTATAGTGGAACTGATGATAGCCCCAAAATAAGAACCAAGTAACTCCTCTTGGTATGAGCTAGATTCAGTGCTGACCAAACAAAGAGGGTAGCACAAAGTCCTATTCACCTAAATGGAAGTGATACATACGGAAAAGGACAAAGCAAGATCCTCCACTGAGAAGACAGCATCTCAGCCTTTGCTAGATTTGCCCCATGAGCAGAGAGGGTGGGGAAGACCTGGACCACCACCCTCCTGGTCTGAGCTGACACTAGGGCACAGGCCATGTGATGGCCTAAGGAAAGGAGTGCCTCCTCCCTCATACCGCAAGACGAGCGGAAGGCTGCAGCCCTAAATGCAACCACAGGAGAAACCTGGCAGGTAGAGGGGCTGGTGAGGCAGCTCAATATGATGAATTAAAATCAGTATAACTGCCAGTAAGTCAGAACATATGCAAAGGACATCCTGAACTTATCTTGAATTATGACCCATGGGCAGTAGCCAATGGCCTAATACTTTGGTGCCCCAAATGAAAAAATAATAATTGTCTAATAAACAATCAGTAGGGAGAAAACCAATATGGAAGAACATACATCAGGTTTAGCCAATCTTACATAACAGGAGATGATGTCTCAGCACATAGAAAGGTAAAACTCACCAAGAAAAATACAATTAGAAAGTAGACAAATTGGGATGCCTGGGTAGCTCAGTGGTTGAACATCTGCCTTAGGCTCAGGGCGTGATTCTGGAGTCCCAGGATCCAGTGCCATGTCAGGCTCCCTGCAGGGAGCCTGCTTCTCCCTCTGCCTGTGTCTCTGCCTCTCTCTCTGTGTGTCTCATGAATGAATAAATAAAAATCCTTTTTTTAAAAAAAGGATAAATGAACTAGAAGTATAACATCGAAAACGGTTAATTGACAACACTGTAGCTAGATGGGTTCCCCGAACAGATGGACAGTTGGGCACAAATTTGTCAATTAAAGGATGCAGGGAGAGATGTAGTCCTAAAACCGCGCATGCTAAAACATTGTCAAATCTGCCAGCCTTTTCTGTGTCAGTTGACAATAGAAAAAAGGGCATACGTGCTTACTTCGGCAGTGCGTGTACTAAAATTGGAATGATAAAGGGAAGATTAGAATGGCTCCTACACAAGGATGACACACAAATTCATGATGCGTTCCATATTTTTGGATGGGTTGAGCACTGGGTGTTATACTATATGTTGGCAAATTGAATTTAAATTAAAAAAATTTAAAAAGGATAAAGGGGCACACAATTCGAAGAGCTAGCGGAAGATAATCTGGTAGATAGGATATGCTGAAGCCAGGACTGGGTCACCAGGAGAACAGAAATGGCTGTAGTGGGTACTTCTCAGGGCTGGGGGTTACCTAGATGCTACAGCCACGATGCCACACATACAGACACTAGTATCTATGGAACCTCCCTAGTCACAGAATCAAACTAGGAAACAAACTTTACAGTAAGTGCATGGGTCTAGGCCAGAAGAAGAAAATCTGATGCCTCATAATCCTACAGCAGCAGGAATGGTAAAAAGTTTAATGGGTTACTAAGGAAACACCTAAACATAGCCCCGGGTGAAATAAATAGAAAATGGAACAGTGTTCTGGCAAAATAACTGGTCTAAATTACATAATAACCAACTATCTTGACACCCTAGAGCTATTCAAACAGCCGATATATTCCTACAGGGGCACTTGGTTGGCTCAGTCAGTAGAGCATGTGGCTCTTGATCTCAGGGTTGTGAGTTTGAGTCCCACACTGGGTGTAGAGATTACTTAAAAAAAAAAAAAAAAAGAGATACCTGGGTAGCTCAGTAGGTAAAGCATCTGACCTTTGATCTCAGCTCAGGTCATGATCTCAGGGTTGTGAGTTCAAGTCCTGAACTGGGCTCTGCACTAGGCATGGAGCTTACTTAAAAACAAAACAAAACATTTTTTTTAATCTAAAAAAAGATGCAATGGATGGAGCTACGTCTCTGTCTTCCTGCTTGGCAAAACTCTGTGCCATGGACATTTTATGGGAGTCTTGATATAACTCTGGTGATTGGAAACACTGCAACATTATCAAAAACTTAAGGAATATGCTTATTTGTTATGATTCTGGTACTAATTCAGGTCTGTTGTAAAGCATATGCGTAACAGGGTGTGAACTGTAGAGCAAGTATGTTTGTAAATTATATCTCAGTTCTGGACACAGCTTCTTATTTTTTTAAATAAAGTCTCCTCTCAACATGGGGCTTGAATTCATGACCTCAAGACCACCAGTTGCATGCTCCACCAGCTGAGCCAGATAGGCACCCTTGTCACAGCTTCTTATTGATATCAGCTATTAAATGCTGCTTGCAACCCACTGAAGGCCAGCTCACATCCTAACAGTGTCAAAATACTAGCGTAAAACCTATAGTCCAATGGTGAGGTGGCAAGGGCCAGTATGTACCGTAATCATATTAAGGATCCACACATTAGGGCTTGCTAACTTGCCAATAACCAATTAGAGCAAGAGTGTGAACAGCAACACACCAAATACATGATTATAAACAGTCTAATGGGTTGGACAGTGTCCACCCAAAATTCATGCCCCTCCCATCCCAAATCTCAGAATGTGACTTTATTTAGAAATAAGATCTTTCCAGGGGTGCCTGGCCTGATTGACTCAGTAGGTTAAGTGTCTGCCTTCGGCTCAGGTTGTGATATCAGGATTCTGGGATGGAGCCCTGAGTCAGGCTCCCTGTTGGGGGTGGAGAGGAGAGTCTGCTTCTGCCTCTGCCCCTGCCCTTCCCCCTGCTCTCGTTCTCTCTCTCAAATGAATATATAAAATCTTAAAAAAAAGGAATATGATCTTTCCAGATATAATACTGGATTATGGTGGGCCCTAACCCCAAGGACCAGTGTCCTATAAGAGGAGAAGCCATATAGAGACATACACAGAGGAAAGATGGAGAGCCAAGGAATGTCGGGGGACACCAGATGATGTAAAAGACCAGGTAGAAGCCTTCCTCAGAAACTTCTGGGGGCCCATGCTGTGCAGGTAGCCTCATTTTGGACTTTCAGACTCCAGAACTGTGAATGATTAAGTTTATTGTTTTAAGACACTCAGTTTGTAGTAATTTAATATGGCATCCCTGGGGGAAGATTATGCACAGAAAGGGAGGTCTCCATTTTAAGATTCCTGATCCTGGTGCCACTTGCTCCCACAGCAAGAGTGCACACTGGGGGCACCTGGGTGGCTCAGTTGGTTAAGCATCTGACTCTTGGTTTGGGCTCAGGTCATGATCTCATGGTCATGGGATCAAGCCCCACGTTGGGTTCTGTGCTCAGTCTAGAGTCTGCCTGAGATTCTCTCTTCTCCCTCAGCCCCCACCCCCACTCTTGCACACGCTCTCTCAAATAAATAAATCTTGGGGATCCCTGGATGGCTCAGCAGTTAAGCGCCTGCCTTCGGCCCAGGGCGGGATTCTGGAGTCCCAGGATGGAGTCCCACGTTAGGCTCCCTGCATGGAGCCTGCTTCTCCTCTGCCTGTATCTCTGCCTCTCTCTCTCTCTCTCTCTCCCTGTGTCTCTCATGAATAAATAACTAAAATCTAAAAAATCTAAATATATATAAATAAATCTTAAAAAAAAAAGGGTGCAACTGTTGGGGATTTACCCCAAAGATTCAGATGCAATGAAACGCCGGGACACCTGCACCCCGATGTTTCTAGCAGCAATGTCCACAATAGCCAAACTGTGGAAGGAGCCTCGGTGTCCATCGAAAGATGAATGGATAAAGAAGATGTGGTTTATGTATACAATGGAATATTACTCAGCCATTAGAAACGACGAATACGGGCAGCCCCAGTGGCTCAGCAGTTTAGCGCCTGCCTTCGACCCAGGGCCTGATCCTGGAGACTGGGGATCGAGTCCCACGTCAGGCTCCCGGCATGGAGCCTGCTTCTCCCTCTGCCTGTGTCTCTGCGTCTCTCTCTCTCTCTCTCTCTCTCTCTGTCTCTCATGAATAAATAAATAAAAAACCTTTAAAAAAAAAAAAAAGAAACGACAAATACCCACCATTTGCTTCAACGTGGATGGAACTGGAGGGTATTATGCTAAGTGAAGTAAGTCAATCGGAGAAGGACAAACAGTGTATGTTCTCATTCATTTGGGGAATATAAATAATAGTGAAAGGGAATATAAAGGAAGAGAGAAAAAATGTGTGGGAAATATCAGAAAGGGAGGCAGAACATAAAGACTCCTAACTCTGGGAAACGAACTAGGGGTGGTGGAAGGGGAGGAGGGCAGGGGGTGGGGATGAATGGGTGACGGGCACTGAGGGGGACACTTGACAGGATGAGCACTGGGTGTTATTCAGTATGTTGGTAAATTGAACACCAATAAAAAATTAATTTATTAAAAATAAAAGGGTGCAAAAAAAAAGGGTGCACACTATCCTTCACTCTCCTGAAATTTGAGGGTCAGTCTCAAGTCAATGGATCATTGCCAGATCCAATCAGCAGACAGTCTAGATAGTGGATGGGGAGAAAGAGAAGGAACATTCTTACTGAGAAGGTCACCATCACACTCACCACCTGGGGTGGTCTTTCACCCTAGCCCCAGCCCAAATGCTGGGCAACTCCCATCAGGTGTAAGCCGGTAGCTAGGAGGTGAATGAATTCACCTGAGGCAGAACAAAGGAGCTAGCTAAATACCCCTACAAGGGAGCAGAGAAGATACCCTACACCTGAGACAGTGGGTGGGGGCTGTTTTTAAAGAGGAAAGGTGAGGAGGTGTGGCACTGACAGGATGTTGCCTCTTTTGTTGTTGGTTGTTGTTGTTGGTAGCCCATCTATCGGTCATTTAGGGCCCATGGATGTTTTGAGGTGGGTCCTCTGATGGGGCTTCCTGTATTCAGGCAAGGGGTCATTGTGGGCCCTTCCTACATCCCATCGTTCAATCCTGTTGACAAAAAGTGGCCTCTACACCCAGAAAGAATATGTGTGGCTGGGGGCTGGTGTACTGATAGGTTTATTCCAAGTGGATAAGATACCATTATATTAGGTAATCCTTTGTTATACTGAATTATTCTATAGTAAGGATACTTTTCAAAAGGTTGCCTCTGGGGATGCCTGGTGGCCCAGTTGGTAAAGTGATCACCCCTTGGTTTCAGATCAGGTCATGATCTCAGGGTTGTGAGATCGAGCCCTCTTAGGGCTCCCTGCTCAGCAGGGAGTGTGCCCCTTGTGTGTGTGCTCACTCTCTGTCTCAAATAAATTTCAAAAAAAAAAAGAAAAAAAGAAAATCACATTCCTTAAAAAAAAAAAAAGGTTCCCTCTAGCAGCTCCTACATGATTACATTAAAGCCAATGGAGTTCAGATAACATGGTTCACTGAAGGTCTCATCTCCTCCCTCCACTATGCTTGCCAGTGAATAACTCCTGGGTATATGAGTTCACACTATAGATGTCAGAGGGGACTCAACCCTAGAATGTGATCATACACATGCTGATGCATAGTGCTGGCAAGGAGAAGTGTCAGTATACTGTCTTAAGCGTTCACATGAATGTACTTCATGGGCAGGGCAGCCCTGACTCCACCCATCCTCCTCTTCCTAGGTGGTGAGACATTCCAACCCTCTACTTCCCCTTTTTGGCTGGGTGATTTCCCCTTTCTTCCTAGTCTTGGAAAAATGATATTAAAAAAATGCCTGTGCTTTATAGATACTTTGTGAGTCTGCCTAGATTACAAGCCTCTCTCATCTCAGAAAAAGAATCTACTTTTGACAACACATCTGGAGCTAAAATAGTAACCTTTATTCAAACTCATGCACAATCATTATGTAGCAAGTATTTCTTAAGCATCTACTAGGTGCTGAGGCACTGTTCTGGGTGTCAGGAACATAGCAATGAAAAAGGCAGTAGGATTCCTACTCTTGAAGAACTGACAATTGAAGGAAGACCTCAGTGAGCAAGTAAACAAGATCAAAATGAAGACAATGACTTTTTTTTAAAAGATTATTTGAGTAATCTCTATACCCAACGTGGAGCTCCAACTCACCACTCCAAGATCAAGAGATGCAAGCTCTGTACTGAACCAGCCAGGTGTCCTAAACACAATTACTTTATTTAGGCACGAGGTCGGGGGGGGGGGGGGGTTGTAGTGGGAGAGGGAGAGAACTTCAAGCCGACTCCCCATT